ATCCTCAGACATTTCGAGGCCGGAAGCAGGGGAGAGGGGAAGACCAAGACGCACCACAGAAGGGGAAGAACGAAGGGGTGCGGACTGAACCAAGGTCAAAGCGACCCCCACCCCCAAAGTCCAGGTCCCTATAAGCAAAACAGGGCCGCCTCGGGGCATCCGGGTGAGCAACCAACCTAGCACGTTGCAACAACCTAAGACGAGCATGTAACGTCTGCGCCACCTGTACCAATAGAACTTTATCTTGGGATTGGGTAAACTGAGTCACTAGCAAGCAACAGAACTCACACGACTCCAGGTCGAAGGTGTCACCGACCCAACAGGCAGCGTGATGGAGGCAAAAACCATGAGGGTCACTCTGAGTCACGGGGACTGAGCAACCCTCGAACTCGCACGAAGCGAGGGGGGACTCCAGGGACACATCCATCCACGCACCCCCTAGGGAATTCCCAAGGTCCTGAGTGTTTAATGGAAACTCGCACCCAGGTAATCCCAGGCAGGGTACTGCTAACCGGTCCCCAAAACTACCAAACAACTGTCTAAAGCTGTACCCCAGGGACATGTGCACTCATGGGGACCTAGCAGGGGGCACCACCAGAATAGCACCATGCACAGGTCAGGCACAAAAAAAGGGGAAGCAAGGCAGACCCCCCTACAAGGCAAAAACAAAAAGAAACACAAAACCCCGCAAGAGGACAACGTACCCAAAGGATCAGAGCCGGCAGCTGTATGTGGTGAAAACAAGCATGCATAGTACCCTGCGCCACTTACCAGTGCAAACTGCCTCTTACCCTAAGGTAAACCAAGAAGACAAAACCCCTAAGCACTCAAAGGGCAGACGAAAACCGAGGAGTAATACGGCCTAGCAGAAGCAGACCCCCGAGGAACTTGTGGAAGGTAACCCCAAGCTCCAAGGGCAGTACTTACAAGGCACCTAGGGACGATAACCCTGGGCGCATGCAGCCCGAGTACCCTAGAATAACTCCTGGCTCTCGCAACCCTGGAAAACAGCCACCACACTCATGGTAGCAGAGAACACCCTATAAATTATATACCTCTATTGTTGACAAGCTAGGTTGTCATATTACTAGAAAAAATATATTAAAACTAAGTGAGATGAATACCTGGAGAGAAATGACAAAATAAAAAAGCACAGTGCTGGAAACGCTGGAGCCAAGCACACGACCTCTGCCTCTAACATCAGCCTTAGAACTGACGGGTGGATAGCAGGCATGGGGGGTTCTGGGGGTCTGAGTCTGTGGTGGTGCAGTATCTGCAGGCGGCTTCGGTAAGTTGTCGGCCTATGTCGGACCTGTTGGTTCTCCACGGGTCTTGTGGGGGTCTTCCCATACGAGTTGTGCCAGGGCTCGGGGTTCCTTCCGTCATGGTAGGCCAGTGGTGCCAGATTCAGGGCAAGCGCAGCCTTCGGTTCCGTCTGTTTCTGGTTGGCGTGGGGATCGCTCTGTGCTCAGCGTAGGTTCTCATAAGGTGTGTCGGCCTTTTCGCGATTCGTCCCATTGACGGGATGATGCGAGGGAGGCTCGCTCTGTTCACTCGCGCCTGGTACCACGATTTGTGGACATTTTGGGTCGGTTTGTGCGGCCTGCAGTGGCGTTGGGTGGCTCCTCCCTCGGGGGGATCAGAGCTCGCGGGGCAGGCCTCTTCTCCTGCGCTCTGTCAGGTCATCTCGGAGTGGGTTCGCCTGGGCGTGGTTTGTCTGGCCAGTTTGCGCTCCCAGCCATTCTGTGTGTCTGCTTGTCAGGAATTTGGTTCTTTCCAAGCTCGCCGGGTGTGGGTTCTTGGTGAACTGGAGGAAGTTCAATCTGGTTCCCTCTCAGGCTGGGTGGGACTCTCGTACCGCTTTCTTGTCTCTTCCTCAGGCGGCTCTGCTTCGCCTGTGTTCTCGCCTGTGTCTGTTACTGAGAGGCTTCCGGGTCACGCAGCGGTTGCTCGAGACTTTGTGTGGGAGCCTGAACTTTACCATGATTGTCTACCTGCCGGGTCGGGTGTGGCTTCGTCAGCTGTTCTGGTTCGTTCGGGGACGTCCCTTCCGCCTCTCGAGCGATCACTGGGTTCGACCCCCGGGGGCATTACGTCGGCTGCTGCATCGCCGGCTTTCTCATTGGGTTTTTCGGGGTTCAGTGCCTTGGCGCCTGCCTGAGCCCTCGCTAGATGTGTTCACAGACGTGTCGTCTCTTGGCAGAGGCTTTATGACCAATGCTCACCAGGCCAGCCAGGGGCAGTGGAGTCTGTCCCTTTGTCTAGCTCACAGCACGGTGTGGGAGTTCGCGGCGGTGTGGATGTCGCTCCAGAAGGTTTGGGTCGCTCACGGATCAACTATCAGGCTCCATTCGGACTGTTTTCCTGTGGTTCATTGCCTGAACCGAGGTGGTTCGATGCGGTCCTTGGCTTTTAGGGGCCGGTCGCAGACGAGTCACCGACCGCAACAGACGGTCGGTGACTCGTCTGTTGACTTCTCGGGGTTTGGCTCACCTAGTGGTTCGCGTTCGGGGTGTATCCAACATCTTGTTGAACGGCCCGTCCCGGTTCATTTCCCTGTCCACGGAACGGACGGTCGATGCCAGCTCGTTCGGGCCTCCGGAAGTGAATCTTTTTGCGTCGGCATGGTCGAGGCATCTCCCAGTATATGTGGCCCCCCCTTCCCCGACTGCGAGGCCGTCAGGGTACCCTTCCGGCTGTACTTAGTGAGGTGGAGTTACATATTCCTTTTCCCCCCCTGGCTCAGCTGCTGCTCCTGGTCCTGGCTCGCTTGGAGACTTACCAGAGAAGAATTGTTCTTCTGGCTACTTCGTGGCCGGCCCAGCCTTGGTTTTGGGTGCTGCTTGCTCGGTGTCCGAACTCGAGGGTCTTCCTGCGGCTCTGCCTCTTTCAGCAGATCAGTCCAGCCCGGTACAAGGCTGGTTCGGTTTTCTCCTTGAGTCTTCGCGTCTGTCTTTCTGACTCGAGTCAATCATTACTTGTATGGTGCGCATGTGGATTCATTATTGGTCTCCCACCTGCATGCTTCGTCTCGAAACAGTATGAAGTTTCCTGGCAGTGCTTCCATTTCTTCCTATCACTGCGTTGGTGTTCTTCGATTTCCGATAGGGTTGTTTTGTCCTTTTGTTTCTTGATTGTTCCAGGACCGTCATCTTATGCCGAATACTGTCGCCTTGTATTGTGCGGCGCTGGCAGACCCACTTCAGCTTGCTTTCGATGTTGATGTTACTTCTACCCCGTTCCGCAAGCTGTCTCGTTCGTTGTTTCACCTGCAGCCTGCTCATGCGCCTCCTGAGCTGTCCTGGTCTTTGGACCGGGTGCTCTCATTTCTCTCTTCTCCTTGGTTTGTTGTGGCCCCTTCAGTTCAGGATTGTTTTTCTAAGGCACTTTTCCTGTTGGCACTGGCCTCTGGGGATCAGGTTTGAGGAGCATCATGCTCTCCTCCAGGGCAGGGGTTTCTGCTATTTCAGTCCTGTTGGTCGTTTTGTTCGGTTGCAGCCGTTGTCTCCTTTTCTGGCGAAGAATGAGACAGCTGCATTCTAGAGGGGGGTCCTTCTGTCGTTGATGCTTGATTGGTGAGGCTAGGGGTGTATCATGTGTTCACTTTTCACTCTCCACTTTTATTTGCGCGCCACGGCTTCAGTGGCCAGAGATGCGTTTTGAGTTGACCCGGTTTCCCTTCTTCCCTGTTCCTGGGCTTGGGTTTCTCAGGTCGTCCACAGGGTTATTAGGTCTACCCAGCCTGCAGTCTATCCCCATGCCCACGACGTTCGCAAGTTTGCTGGTTTGGCTGCCGTCATATCTTAGGTTGACATTCGGGCCTGGGGTTTTTGGAAGTTGAACAGGGTCTTGGCAGCTCGCTACCTAGTGATTGTCCCTGGGCCTGGTCGAGCCTGCATTGCATTAAGTCGGCGGTTGCAGCCAGTAGTCTCGACTTCGCGTTGAGAAGTGAGGATGGACCACCTCCCGGGTAAGTCGCTGTTTTCCTTGTCTTTGGGTAGTTAGCTCCGGGAAGCCGACGGGGCTACCACAAGAAAATCAGCATTGAATGTAATGAAACGTCATTTTCTGGGCAAGTCCCGGACGCTCCCCAGCATCCCTCCCTCCCTCTCCCCTGGTCGGGTGTTTTTCACGTTTTTTCAGATCCCTCCTAAGAACTGCAGGTTGGGTCGCCGGTACGAGGATCTGGGATTCCCCCTTTCCCCCTCCCAGGGAGGGGGGTGGGGGGTTGCACAGAGAGCGGCATGGCAACATGATGACGTCATTCTCGTTTGCCAATTTTCGTTTGGGGAGTTCTGTCCACTCGTTCGACTTTCGGTAGCAATAGTATCACCAGAATAGGGGTTTGTTGTGGGGTGCCTACTTTTCTGGGTGCCTGTCCCAGTCGATGGCAGACATAGAATGCTCCTAACCTTAAGGGTGTTTCTATATGCCATTGCTCCTCATGCCTCTCTGAGGGGGCCAGGTTCTGGCTCATAGTTTCCTGTAGGCAAGAACTCCATGCACCTTGACTATGCTAGAAAGTTATACATATTCATTCAGCCTGGATAGCTCTGGGGAGTCTCGGAACTCACCCAGAAAATGGCATTTCATTATAATCAGCGTTGATTTTTTTGCCAGACTTTCCTGCCCTATTGCACCCAAAATATGCCACCTACGATTTTTTTCCCCGTGATCAGGGAACACAAATGAACACTTTTAGAAGACGAAAGAATTTTTTTGTTTTGTTTTTTGCACCTTTGGGTGTTGAAGGCAAAATGGCCCTTAGTAGCCCAAGGGTTAAGTCAGGTCACATTTGTTAAAAAGGTTAGATTATTTAAGTATTTACTGTAATTACCTAAGTGTAGTTACAGGATGAGAGCTATGCTCGTGGTGTCCTGTCTGTGAAACTACTGTATATGCAGAATACATATATTTTTGGCTTTAGTGGCACACATACCCAAATAATGTGTAAACTTTAGCAACATTTCAAAAACCCCCTAGCACAGCTCTCTACTCACATTCTCTAGTGCCCCGGCTGAAGTTTTCATTAACTTGAGCAAAGATCTGTTGGGTAAGTGCATTGAGTCCTGGCAAAAGTAATTTGTTGTATGCCTCTCGGCACGAGTTCTGCACTGTTGTTCCCAATACTGTACTAACTGATCCTCCAAGGGTCTCCACAAATGACTGAAATAGGAAATTTACACATAATAAAAATATACAGGAAACAATATTGAAATAAATTATGCTTTCAGTTCAGCCAAAATATAACAATTTCTATTGACTTAACTATCTACATCATTCAAAGCTATCAGTTATACACAAGTATATTTTGTACAGTTCACTGTCATTGACCCTATTTGCTCAGATATTCCAGTTCTGGCACTATTCTTTTCCCTGGATCTATATGGGGCAAAAATATAAATAAAATTAAATTCACATTATTTATTAACATCTGTACTGTAATAAGAAAATTACCTGCTTTTTCCAGTAACATTATAAAAAACCAGCGTTGAATGATATGAAACGCAATTTTCTGGGCGAGAACCAGAGGCTCCCCGGAGCTATCCAGGCTGATGTGTATCTATCAGGTTTCTGGCATCAGTCAAGATGCATGGAGTTCTTGCCAACCGGGGACCATGAGCCAGAACCTGGCCCCCTCAAAGAGGCACGAGGAGCACTGGCCTATAGAAACGCCCGTGTGGTTGGGAGCATTCTATGTCTGCCATCGACTGGGTCTGGCACCCCAGAAATATGGGCGCCCCAAAATAAACCCTTATCCTGGTGAATATATTGCCACCAAAAGCTGAACGAGTGTACAGAACTCCCCAAACAAAAATTAGCAACCTAGCATGACATAAGGTATTTTTTCTGGCAAAACTTCACCATATCAGGATAGCAATCGGAATAACCAGAGGTTTGGCTGGATAGTGCAGACTGGTATAGATTCTAAATCAAGTCTGGAAAACTTTCTGCCAAACTTCACCATACCCAGACAGAAATATGGAAAACCAATGATTTTGCTGGATATCGCAGACAGAAATTGGGCCATACAGATGACCACTTGATTTACGAACTATAGTTATCTAAAAGTTCCAGTTTCACAATTGGGGTTGGTCTTTGCTCGTTGGTGACGATCTTCCTCACACTTCTCGAACTATGTTCAGGAAGCGAGGAAGCGGTCTGCCAGGCCTAGCGCCGGCCCAGGGTGATGAGTGGGTGAGAGATGGACTAGTTTGCCCAGTGACCCTGTCGAGCGCTACTCTCGTGCCGTCTACCCTGTGATGTCACAGATTCACGGCTCATTGTTTTGATTTGTCACAAGATTGGGGTGTTCATTCCGTGACTTCTTGTATGTATCTGCACAATCTAGGAACATCCATGCACCATGTCAGCTCCAAATGCACGCAGTGTCAGTGATGGCCGACTGGTAGGTGGATGGGCGGACAGAGTGGGCAGGCAGGGAGGGTGAGTGGGAAGGAAATGGGATGTCTGGCAGGCAGGGTTAGCAGGTGGGTGGATGGATAGATTGGGGGCTGGCTGACTGGCAGGCAGGCTAGCTAGCAGGTGGGCAGGTGGGCTGGCTTGGTGGGTAGGTAGGTGGATGGATTAGTGGCCAGCTGGAAGGCAAGTAGGGTGGGTAGGTGGGTGGGCAGGGAGGATGGCTGGGTGGGCAGGTTCAGTGTGGATGGATAGATTGGTGGCTGACTGGTGGGCAGGTTGGGTGGGTAAGTTAATGGGTGGGCAGGCTGGGTGGGTTGGTTGGCTGGGAGAGTGGGCTGCAACAGTGGGCAGGCTGGCTGGGTGGGTTCTGGGAGGGGGGGGGGGGGGTTCTTTGATGGGTTTTGGAGGGCAGTCTTGGGTGGGCTCGGGCAGGTGGGCAGGCTTGGGTGGGTTCGGGAGGGTGGGTGGGCTTGGGTGGGTTCGGGCGGGTGGGCGGATAATGGGCTTGCCGAAAAAGTCTCCCATTCAAACTATCACTAATAGAGTAACCTCATTCATCTTTGCCAACATACAAGGACTGAAAACAAGAACAAACAACAAAGTACAGTTCATAAATGGCCTCCTCATGGAGTCAAATGCAGTATTTGGAGCTTTCACAGAAACCCATGCAGGGGAATTGTTGGACAGTGAGATCTGGATTCCAGGATATAACCTATACAGGTGTGATAGGAAAATTAGGTCACATGGAGGAGTGGGTCTGTATATTAGGGAAGACCTTGTATGCTTGGAGCTCCTAACCGTTACAAATGAGGTGGTAGAGGTACTGGGATTAAAAATAGAGAAAATAAATTTAGTGATTATTCTAATATACAAACCGCCAGATGCAACGGCTGAGGAATTCACAGAACAGATAAGCAAAATAGAGAATAGCCTTGATAATTTGGAGAACCCGATACCTGATATTATCTTCCTAGGTGACTTCAACTTGCCAAGTCTCAGGTGGAAAATAGCAAACAATAATATTATACCAGGAAATCTATCAGGACCTAACCAACCACAGATTAGAGAACTACTTAGATTCTGTGACAAATTTTCACTCAATCAGCAGATATCGGAGCCAACGAGAAATGAAAATATTCTAGATCTGGTCTTTACGAACAATGAAGACATTATCAGAGACATTACGATATCAGATACCACATACTCAGATCACAAGCTCATTGAAGTGCAAACGACCATCAATACTCAGAATAGACCTAAAATGTTGATAAAGCGAGAGGGGCTATTCAGTAAATTCAATTTTAATAATAAAAGGATAGACTGGGAGATAATAAACAGGGAACTTACAAACATTCCATGGGGAACTGTTCAAAGTAATACAAGTCCTACAGAAGGAATAGAAAAACTGACTTCAGAAGCGTATCAAGTCTGTCTGAAACAGGTTCCTTTGAGGAAAGCCAGAAAGAGATCTAACGTAGAAAGAGAACGCAGACGACACTATAAACGCAGGAAAAAAATAACGGAACTGCTTATGCAGACACGAATTTCCCGTCAAAGAAGGAATAATTTAAATAGGGAGATTGAAGAAATCGAGCGGAAATTGAAACACTCATATGAAACTGAAGAAAGGCAGTTAGAACAGAAAGCAATGCAGGAAATAAAGAAAAATCCAAAATATTTCTTCTCATATGCGAAATCAAAAGCAAAAACCACTGCCAGTATTGGACCTATTCGTACAAGTGAAGGTTCATACACGGAGGATGACAAAGAAATTAGTGAAATCCTAAAAAAGCAGTATGAGGACATGTTTAGCAATCCAATAAACAACATGAAGGTGGAAGATCCAGACAATTTCTTTATGCGGGATATTCAAACCCCTGTAAATATAACTGATATAAACACGAGCGCAGTAAATTTTGAAAGAGAAATTGAAAACATGCCCATGCACTCGGCCCCAGGTCCAGACTCATGGAATTCAATATTTATAAAGAAATGCAAAGTGCCGGTAGCACAGGCACTCAGTATAGTGTGGAGGAAGAGCTTGGACACCGGGGAGATACCAGATGCACTTAAAGTAGCAGACATAGCCCCTCTACACAAGGGAGGGAGCAAAGCATTGGCAAAAAATTATAGACCAGTTGCACTAACATCGCACATCATAAAAGTATTTGAGAGAGTGATTAGGAGTCAGGTCACCAATTTCATGGAGACCAATGACCTTCACAACCCAGGCCAACATGGATTTCGAGCGGGAAGATCGTGCCTCTCACAGCTACTTGAGCACTACGACAAAGTCACTATAAGAAATATTGTCAATAAGAAATATTGCCGGAACAACCGTGGACATTTTCAAGAGGAAACTAGATTTATTCCTCCAAGGAGTGCCGGACCAACCAGGCTGTGGTGGGTATGTGGGCCTGCGGGCCGCTCCAAGCAACAGCCTAGTGGACCAAACTCTCACAAGTCAAGCCTGGCCTCGGGTCGGGCTTGGGGAGTAGAAGAACTCCCAGAACCCAATCAACCAGGTATCAACCAGGCGGGCATGGGTGGGTTCGGGGGGTGGGCGGGGGGGCATGGGTGGGTTCGGGCGAGTGGGCAGGAATGGGTGGGTTCGGGCGGGTGGCAGGCTTGGGTGGGTTCGGGCGGATGGGCGGTCTTGGGCGGGCTCGGGTGGATGGGCGGGCTTGGGTGGGTTCGGGCGGATGGGTTTGGGTGGGTGGGCGGGCTTGGGTGGGTTCGGTGGGTGGGCGGGCTTGGGTGGGTTCAGGCGGGTGGGTTCGGGCGGGTGGGTTCGGGCGGGTGGGTTCGGGCAGGTGGGTTCGGGCGGGTGGGTTCGGGCGGGTGGGCAGGCATGGGTGGGTTCGGGCGGGTGGGCGGGCATGGGTGGATTTGGGCGGGTGGGCGGGCTTGGGTGGGTTCGGGCGGGTGGGCGGGCTTGGGTGGTTTCGGGCGGATGGGCGGGCTTGGGCGGGTTTGGTTCTATACAGTTTGTTGAACTGAGGTTGTACTCTACTAATAACATGTTAAAAAATACTCACTCTTGAATGAATAACTTTGGAGAGGGCATCTATGATTTGACTTTCTGTGGTCTTGAGAAGGCCATGTACCTCTTGGGAAACACGAGACTGCAGAGGCTCCATTGCCTTCAGAACTCCTGTTTAAACATAATCCCCACTCAGTCCACATTTCAAAGCATGTCATTTACAATATTGCAAAATTATTAGCTTACTCTATTAAGTGGAGTAATTCCTTACTCTAATAATTGGTGATGGAGACAAAAACCGTCAGTAGTTTCAGAGCATCATATGACACAAGGGAGACAGGACACTTGAGTGCAGTTCTTATCCTGTAACTACACTTAGGTAATTACTCTAGAAATTGGTACCGATTCTTTCATATGCTGTCTAAAATATATATTTTTCAGCCCTGCTAGAAGACTTCTCCTTTAAGATCTTAATGTTTCTTAATCACTTAGCAATTTAATTATCATGGATAGTGTCTCCAAATGGAAAGTAGCATATTGAATGAAATGAAATGCTAGTTTCTGTACAGATCTTTAACCACTAAGCTGCTCTGGGCTATTTGGCCTTCAACACGCGCAGAAAAAAAAACCAGCGTTGAATGTAATGAAACGCCATTTTCTGGGCGAGTCCCGGAGGCTCCCCGGAGCTATCCATGGCTGAAATGGATACCCTAACTATTTTGCATCAGTCGATGTGGGTGGAGTTCTAGGCCTACCGGGGACCACGAGCCAGAACCTGGCCCCCTCAGAGAGGCACGGGGAGCAATGGCCCATAGAAATGCACATGTGATTTGGAGCATTCTATATCTGCCATCGACCGGGACAGGCACCCAGAAAGGTAAGCGCCACAAAACAAACCCCTATTCTGGTTAACCCTTACACTGCTCAGGGGTCCTTGGGACATTTACACCCCTGTGCGCAAGAAAAAAAAAAATTCAAAATTTTTTTTCGTCTTCTAAACATGTTAATTTGTGTCCCCTGAGCACGGAAAAAATAAAAAAAAATCGTAGGCGACATATTTTGGGCGCAATTGACCGAGGAAGTCTGGCAAAAAGTGGGCGTTGACAGAGCGGTCGTCAGACCCGGTCAGCGTCACCCGCGTTGACAGATGGGAGTTCCACAAAGATATTATTACCTAATTGTTTCAATGTCTCCGATTGATTTTTTCTTAGTTTTTTTGCAGTAATATTATTCAATAGTGTGCATTGTAATATATTTATATAATAAAAGTGGTTAATAATCGCTATACTCAAAAGTATGATGTGCATATTAGTGATTCAATTATTATGTTTATAAAACTATAAACAAATAGTTTTGCTGCTATTACACTCTATACACAGGTTATATATAAGTATTGGCATGTTTTGATCACCATAACGAACCACTAAGTTGGTATTGAGAGTCGAAAAGCAACGAGGAGTTACCGCCACACACCAGCCAGCCACTCGCTGCCACTCCCTCAACACACGCACTAAACTTTCTCCCCAACAATACCAGTTGTGGTGTTATTACACTATATACAGACGTTATATATAAGTATGTGTATATTTGTTCACCACAACTGTACAGCTAAGCTGATATAGTTGTTCAGGCACTAAGAGTCGTCGCTATACACAGATGGCGGCTCCCTCACTCATTCAAGGTCACACGCACTAAACTTTCTCCCCAACAATACCAGTTGTGGTGTTATTACACTATATACAGACGTTATATATAAGTATGTATATATTTTGTTCACCACAACTGTACAGCTAAGCTGATATAGTTAGTTCAGGCACAGAGTCGTCGCTATACACAGATGGCGGCTGGCGGCTCCCTCACTCTTTCAAGGTCACACGCACTAAACTTTCTCCCCCAACAATACCTTTTGTAGTGTTATTACCCTATATACACATATTATATATAAATATCTACATGTTTTATGCACCGTAACTGTACACCTAAGCTTGTAGTGCGCCCAAAGAGCATAGTGGCCACCCTCTAAACAGCTAGACAAATCGTGCAGACGACATCACCTCCGTCACCCATATGGCTCCTCCCAGCATAATCCTTTTGCTGTTATTACACTAATACACACATTATATATAAGTATCTACATTTGTGTTCACCATAGAGAACCACTGACCTGGTATGGTGAATGCAAACAATAACAGGTGGCCACACAGTCAGTAAACGATGCTGTCTCCCTCCGTCTCTCAGCATCACTCCTCCCACAGCGCTAATTATTACAACAATCCTGCTATTATCACAACCCTGGTTATTTATATCACAGTCATTGGTCATCTGTAATATTGTCATCGCTAAATAATAACAATTATATATTTATTTTGACATTTTTCGGCGATGCTGTGGTCACAAGCTGAACATCAATGCTGTTCGCTCATGCTGCGTGCGCCGGCCTTGGTTGCTCCAACAGTACTGTGCCTCTCACACCTGAGAATATTGCCCACGATTTTTTTTTTAAATGGCATCTGTTTACAAGAGCCCTGAGGAAGCTACTGTGAACCCCGTGTAGCCGCGGGCCATTTGAATCAGGCCTGGCACCCTATGGCGTATATATACGCCATGCGCACCATGGGACATGTTACTCAGGGCGTATATATACGCCATGCGCAGTTTAAGGGTTAAACAACAAAAATCGACAAACGAGTGGACAGAACTCCCCCAGGAAAACGAACTAACAAGCATGACATCACGCGAGCTGCGCCGCATGTCTGCGCAGCTCCCCCCTCCCCGGGAGGGGAAGGGGGAGCCCCAGACCCCCGCACCGGCGATCCCCGCCCCAGTTCTGAGGCTGGATATCAAAACCGTGAAAAACCCGCCGACCGGAGGGCGGGAGGGTGCCGGGGAGCCTCCGGGACTCACCCAGAAAATGGCATTTCATTACATTCAACGCTGGTTTTCTGGGGGGAGCCCCTACGGCTCCCCGGAGCTACCTCACCAAAGACCACCTAAAAACAAGGGGACATACCCGGGAGGCGGTCGGAGAATCACTCCACAACACGAAGTCGAGACAACAACCCATGGTATAGCATTCGCCAGAAAAAAGGGAGAACGGCCGCAGACGAAGAAAACCTATGACCACGACAATAGGAGCCAAAAACCACTGCGCCTGAGAAGAGTAAGAAGCTCTGCCACACGGCCCCAGAGGCGAAAGCAAACAAAAAAGAAAACCGAGGCAAAGCAAACCTGTCCCCAAGGAGCCACAACCACCAAGGAGAAGAAAACAGGAGAGTACCCTGTCCAAAGACCAGGACGACACAGACAGTGCATAAGCAGGCCGGAGGTGTAACAACGCACGATACAACCTGCGAAACGGCGCAGAAGGAATATCGATACCGAAAGCTAGCAGCAGAAACCAAGGTGACAGACCCTGGAACAGCCCCAAGCGCCTCTACATCCTCCGCAAGCCAATCCTATGACAGCCCCAGGAGGGAAAAGAAAACGCAGGACCGAAAACGAACCACAATGCCACAAGTGTGCAAGACCACCTCCACAAGTGCAGCTGACAGGGAAGGAACTCGCATAAGGAGCCGCCCCGCACCAACATCCCGCAGAAGGGCAGGAGCGAAAAGACTCATGAGGAGGAGCAAAAGCGCTCCCAAGAAAACTAGGAGCGCCGAGACAGTGTGAAGAGAAGAGATATTCACAAAAGAACAAAAAGGCCAACACCCAGAAGCTGCTGGGAAGAGGACCCACAAGCCCTAGAAAGGACCGGAGGGAAGCTCAACCGAATGACAACAGACGCACCAGAAAACGGGAAGGAGCAAAACAGTCCTGAACCTTTGAGAACAAAAAGAAGCAAACACAAAGGACGAAGGCACAAAAACCTCGTCGCACCTGAGACCAAAAGTCATGCAGAAACCCCAAGAAGAGGGGGACATGACGGAAGAAGGCCCATCCCGGAAAAAGGGGCGAAGATCATAGAAAAGCACCCACCGCTAGGACGGAAACAACGGGTACAACGGACAAGGAAACCAAGCCCAGGGAGGGGCCGACGCCCACAAAGCACGTGCGGAGAGGGGGAACGGAAAACCCCACACCACAAAACTACAAGTCCCCCCCAGAGGGTTAGAAACACCCCGGCGGGGACCAACGGGGCCTGAAGCCTCTCACGTGAGCCCCACCCCAGCCCCGGGAACCCACCCTGCAGGCCCCAGGGCCGAGCTGTCCCCTCAAAGCCCCAGCGTCAAGAAAACCCCGGGGCAGCCATGAAAAACACGAAGGAAGGGAGCCCACTAGGCTCTGGAACTTGAACTGAAACCGGAGGATAGGCGAGGGGCGAGATGAAGACCCCAAGCTCATCCCCAGCCAGCACAATGAGGTGAGGACAAGACAGTGAAACCAAGAAATATGGAAAAACCAGGCCCTGCATGGCAAGACCGGCAAGGAAGGAGAGCCCCCAGAGGGAGCACGGAAGGGCCGAACATAACGCCAAAACCAACCCCGACACGCAGCTGCAGTACCAAAACCGCAGCAAAACGTCACCACACTCCCCGAGGAAGCGACAGAGAAGATAGATAAATCGTACACGAGTGGCACACAAGGGGACATAGGCGGAAACCGAGCACACAACTGAGCCACAGGGACGGTAGAAGAAATGTGTGCAGTGTAACAGGCAATCAAAGGAACACATTAGGCAGCCCAACATGGGCTGATCCCATACACAGCCCCAAGAGCAGAGATGAGAGTGCCCAAGAAGCACAGAATCCGCCCGACAGGCAAACGACAGGGAAGAGGCGGAAACAAAGAGCCAGAACCCAACCTGCAAACACAAGGAGGCAAACACAAAACCTCCGACACAGGAAAACTTACTACCAAACAGGCACCCCCACCGTTGCACTGCGGAACAAGGTGGAGGCGGGGCCCCGAACTCAAGCAAGGTTAGACAAGCATAGGAGAGGGGCAGAAGGAGTACAGGCAGGAACCGCCTCTGAAGGGACAAGAGGCCACCTGCAGACACCCGTGAACCGAGGAAGGAATCAGGTGGAGAGAACAAGAGCTGCCCAGTATGGGCAAATAGCCCTGCAGTAGGCACCTCGGGTGATACGGTCCACGTTCTCAAGTACGTATGTACACCCATTCCTACTCCCAAAAACAAAAACAGCATCAGGGCGGAGGAGACGTCAAAA